GAAATACTACACGATATATCCTAATATATAAAATTTGGTATTTTTTTTTAGGGTAAAATAAAATTACAAGCGTCAAAAAAAAAAAAACAAAAAGAAGAAAACTGAAATGTATGATACATAAAATTTGATAAAATTTGGATTTTTCTTATAAAAAAAGATTTCTAAAAAAAATACACATAATACTCGTTTACTTCGTCGTTTTTTAAATCAAACGAAAACATATAATTTACAACGTAACAAACAATAATAATAATAATCTATGATCGCGAACAGATTTTTATTTGATTATTTTATATTGAAAATAAAATGCGCGGTGTAAAAGTAATTTTATTTAATTGATCGTTTCATTTTAATTAAATATTGTCGTTTGATTTGCCTAACGATTATTTAGAACAAATAATAATAATAATAATAATAATAAAATAGAATTATAAATAATCACGAACGTATCAACTTCATATCTTTCTCTCGACTCGGCTTTATTCGAGTTCGATTTGCATGGCTTGCTTAGTTGGTGGTTGGAAAACCACTATTAAAAGTTGCAGTTGCTTCTCGAACGTCAACGCGGAAACATCACTGTGCTTTACAACCATTATTATTATTATTATTATTATTATTATTAGTATTATTACAGACTACATATTATTCTCGTTAAAATAGAATATCAGCAGGTCTTTTTAATTTAATTATTTATTATATAATTACTTTTTTGAGTTATAAAATACTTTTTTCTTTTATTTTGTTTGTATTTTTTATTCTTTTTCATTTTGTACGGAAGATTGATATCAAAGAAAGTTTTTTTGGGTGAGTGATTTTTACACAAATTATAATACAACAGTTTAATTAGCATACACACATATATACGATTTTTTATTTAACTAACATGTCACATCTAATTTTTATTTTATTATTATTTATCTATATATTTATTTATTTATTTATTTATTTATTTATTTATCTATATATTTATTTATTTATTAATTTATTTATTTAGAAGGAGTTTGATTTGTCAAAATTATATTACTGTATTTTAATTATTTTGGTCAACTTTTTTTTTTTTTTTAGATCAATAAGAAATCTATCTATATCTATATATGTTTAATCATCACCTATTGACTGAAACAAAAGTTCAAATGGTTAATAATCGTTGTAAGATTTTGTCAACGATGACAAATTATAATAAAGCAAGCGTAAGCTTTCAGCCTGTCAGTGCTAACTCGGAGACACGTGAAACGACAGCATCCGCCTGTTGTCTTTTGTTTCTTTCTCCCTCTCTCTCTTCCCCCCTATCTTTCTTTATTTCTTTTTTTTTTTATATCACGATTACACTGAAACGATTGTAAAGGGTTGAGTATGAGGAGGTGTAGAAAGGGGAAGGAGGAGGAGGAGAAGGACACATTCGTCAACGTTAGCAAAGTGTTTGCTCGTCGTTGCTTCTACGAACCCCGTCAGAAAAATAATATCGAGAGAAATTTCGTGACGATGAACAAAACAAGAAAAAAAAAAAGAAAGAAAAGGGATTGAGGGGTGAGTTTCGAATGTGACGCGACAACGAAAGTAATTATAGTCCCTTCCTAAATGCAAAAGAAAAAAAAGGTGTGTGGAAGCAATCTTTTTATATTTTTTCTCTTTTCTTTTCATAATCGAGATTAAATTTTAATTAACAATTTCTTTTTAAATACAAAACAAAGATATCTATAATAATAATAATAATAATAATAATAATAATAATAATATTAATATTAATAATAATAATAATAATAATAATAAACACAAAAGAAAAAAAACAAATTAATTTTCTTTATTTAACTTCTTATTGAAATACAGCGACGTTTGATGTATGCCTATATTGTTTTTAATTATAAATATTATATTATTAATATATAATATAATTTTAATTATATATATAAATATATTATTAATTAATATAATATATATTTAATTTTTCAAAATGTGATTAAAAACATCCCCTTCTCCTCCTGTTACTAACCCCACTCGGTGTACAAACACTGAAAAGATGGGAAACGTTTTTATCTCACTTTATCCCGAAATGTTTGAAAGGGGGTGCCAAAGTTTGCGTGGGTAGGGGTTGCATTAGATAAACGAAGATTTAACAAAAAAATCAAATAAGAGAAAAGAGGAAAAGAAAATTGTTGTTGAAGGTTCATCCAGATGTTAGGAGAATGGCGAGAAAGTAGAGCCCTTTATGTCGGCGCCTTTGAGGAACTGCGAATAATTGCTCTCTCTCTCTCTTTCTTTCTTTCTTTCTTTCTTTCTCTTGAAGCACTTATGCTACAAGTCCATCCGTTTCATTTCGTTTTTCGAGGATGCGTCAACTTCCCTGGTATAATTCACGCTTCGTTGCTTCCGATCTTAAGGGGGTTGCACCGACATATTTCAATTTTTAGGACCGTGTATTCTTTAAGTACTTAAGTACTTTTTTTTTACATACACATTTACATTCTTCTTCCTTCCTGTCTCGTTTTTATTTATATTATTTTATACTTTTTTTTATAATAATAATAATTGTGCATTTAACAATAACCATTAACTATTATAATATTAATAATTACATTAAGGGTTATGACACTATTTTCAAATTTTTAGGACAATGTAGTTGAAGTATTTAAATATTTAATTATTATTAATTATTTTATTAATAAATTTATAATTTTATAAATATTATAATTAATAAATTATTAATAAATTATAAATAAATAAATTATTATTATTACAATCAGGAATAGAAATTTGTACATGAATTATGTAATTGCATGTTAGCTATGCATTAGTATAGATTACTATTAATTCTATTAATAATTGTAATTATCATAGTTCATAAAAGATTAATATATTTCAATATATATATATATTATATTAATACTAGACACAGTATTTTATAAAATAAATGATCGAGAGAAACATTTACAATAAAATCATCATAATTATGACCAAGATTACAACGTATACAAAAAACAAAACTAACCTAATTAAACGGAAACACTATTATTCCTATTATAATCGATAAAACGTGTTGATCAAACAAGGATACAAACAAAAATAACAAACTTCGAATACTGAATCCATAATTCAGTCGAGTCATCAAACAATAATTCCACATATGACCAAGTCAACATGTTTTCAGACCCTTAAAAGGTTTTCCAATAATACGAAGAATTAAAATTCAAATACTCACACTTACTAGAAACGAATCCTATTAAAAAAGAAGTCTTTTTATTGTCGTCATCATGACTAGGAACACGATGACGATGATCATCAGCATCATCTGTATGATGATGACGATGGTTATGATGGTGCTGATAGCTTTGACGATAATGGTGGTTGTTAACGCGTGAAGATCGTATTTACGATCGTGTCTGTGAAGATCGTCTTTCTCTCTCTCTCTCTCTCTCTCTCTCTGTTTGTCCGTCTGTCTCTCATTCTGAGTTTTCTCCTAACTTCTTCAATGAACCTACGAGAACGTATTAGCTACACTGTTAACACACACCATACTTCAACGTACGATTCATTCAGTACAATCTCGAGCTCGGCGAACGTTTCACTCATAATTAGGGCTTGCTCTTTCACCCGTAAGCAGACACTATCTTATTATTATTATTGTTATTGTTATTATTATTATTATTATTGTCTTACTGAATCAGCAGAGCTAGAATGCTTTCAAGATCAAGTATGGCATGGAGAATTTTTTTTTCTAAATTCTGCATTCTCATTGCAATCTTTTTTAATAATTGTTAGTTTTATTATTATTATTATTATTATTATTATTATTATTATTATTATTATTAATTCATTGCATTTAATTATTTATGTACGTGCATATTATTTGTACAAAAAATTTGTTTGAATCATTTGTAAAAGTTAGGTTCTAAAGTTTAGAGGTTTTAGGGGTTTTAGGTTTTATTTTTTAACAATTTATTTTAATTGTCAATTTTATTATTATTTTTATTAATTCATTGCATTTAATTATTTATGTACGTGCATATTATTTGTAAAAAATTTATTTCAATAATTTGTAAAAGTTAGATTCTAAAGGTTAGGTTCTAGGTTTTGTTTCTTTTTTTATTTCTTTTAATTTTTGTTTTAATGTGCATTCGTTTAAATATAAGAAAATTTTTGATTTTTATTATTATAAATATTATTTTGTGACTAATATCTAAATAATTGTGAAAAGTTAGCATAACTTTCGTTAATCTCAAATACTTGGTACGCTGTGTTTTAATCAAAAAAGAAATATTTATCACCGATTGTGTATAACTTTGGAAAGTGAAAGAAAAAATGAGGAAAGAAAAGAAAAAAAATGTGCAATTCTTTGGACAAATTGACCGATCGCATTACTAGTCGCGGTTTGCGGTAGAAAGTTGATTTAACCTTAATACAGTTTCGAGTTGCAAGAGAGAGAAAAATGACCGCACGTTTTTTTCTCACGTGTCAATGTTCTTTCACGTATTAAATATATGCAGATCTTAATTTTTTGGTTTATTCAAAAATACGATAAGATAAAATAAAATAGAACACAAAATGAGAAGATTGGTATGTGATAGGATAAATTTAGGTATTTACCATTAATTACTCAAAGATAATAAAAAATAATAAACTATACCTAAATATTTTCTTATTTCATTCTATAGGCTTTTATAAAATTTCCAAATAAAAAAGAAATATAAAAGATTTAATAAATAATTAACAAGTTATATATTTCGGATTAAAAATATATATATTATTATAATTAATATAAATATTATTATATATATTTATTATTATTTTATTTTCCAATAGGGTTACTATTACCTAAATGATAAAAATATAATTATATATTTAAAATATTAAAATATATAATAATAATAATATAAATATGTATTTGCAAAAGTAATATTTTTAATTTACTATTAATTTAATATTAATGATAAATTTTGTAATTTAATTTATTATTAAAAAATTAATTATTAATAATTAATATAAAATAAATTTTATTTGAACAGAGATCGACTGAACAGCTGACACGGTGCAGTACAATCTCGTTGGAAGAAGAAACAGCAATTGATAAGGCGGGTAACGTGGTGGAAAACCAAACGATACCCAAGATCATGAGTGTTTGCAAGAACACGATTCGTTGGGTAATCCTGATCGACGTGCTGATAGCATTAATAGGTTAGCATACATTTTGTTTTTTTTTTTAAATTAATAAATAGATTTATTTCCACCTTAATTTCAACCCCAATTACATTTATCTCATATTTGGCACACTCACTTTTATTAATTTTTACGATTAGAAATTGCACTCACAATGCAACGACTCAAATTTGTTCTAATCACATGCACTAAATTTAATACATATTATATAATATATGTATAAATATATGCTATATATACATTAACGCATACACTTTGTGTGTGCGTGTGCACTCGTACATGTACGAATGGACGAATATTTTAACAGTTAGACTTTCTCGCGCTTATAAGGATAGTAAAATGACAATAAAATAGACAACAAAAATTGGCAAAGAGGACTACGAACTCTGTAATTCAATACACAACAGATGGTTCTTCGTCTAGAATTTTCCAGGCAATAAGCTCGCACTATTAAATTTACGCTCATCTTTCTTTCTCTCATATACATCATATATAAAATATATACGCCCATAGGCGCACACGTATAATGTATCATTGAATCAACGAACCGTATGAAATGGAAATGATACGTCCATGTTGTTTTTTATTCTTTTTTTTTTTTTTTAATCAAACGTACCTTTCTTCATTAGATCATACAATTAAATCAACCGAAAATTATTTCTATTTTTTAATAGTACTACGTCTATATTGTTTATGTTCATAAATATTGTTAATAGAAATCACTTATGTCAATATTAATTATTTATCACTCGTGCACATACCAATAAATCAAATATATTTATTTGTTAATACGATTGATCGTAGATAAAATCATCGTGCAGTCACAAGTCAAGCCTATTGTCTCCTCCTCCTCCTCCATTCATTGTGAGTCATAAGCTTTGCTGGGTGATTCACATTAGAATAGATTCAAGGCATAGTTTATTACCTGAATAAATCCTTTTAAGTCTTACCACTATATATCCCTGGTGGATAAGCTCTTGAATACCCAGGTGCACTTATAACAAAATTACAAACAAATATTATATCGTTCATAAAGTAATTTTTGTTTTTCTTCTGATAAATAAAACATATTTTTTATCAAATAATAGTGGCTTTTAAATTTGCGTAAATTTTAATTATCATCTTGTATAATCTATTAGTATAACGGTAACGTTAAAAATTTGAAAAAATTCAAGAGATGCGACGTTGTACCACGTTGACCTCGAATATTTGACATGCTAATTTAATTGACATTATTATGTTATAAAATGACTTCATTTAAATTTAAGAAAAATTAATTCCTGTATAATTATACATTTTAATCACGTTCTAAATTATTTATTTTTTATCTTTTTTTTGAGTGGATTTGACTAAGTTAGATAACATTTAAAAAATAGTACACGATTAGCGTGGTTAGCTTTACTATTATATTGTGAAGTCACGTGGTTCTCCTTTCTCCCCACTCTTCCTTACTTCCCCCACTCTTGCTATTTCTGCATCATTGCTAAGAGCAACTGAGGGTTCAGTCATCACGTGCAAGCGTTGAAGATTTACTATATTTTTAGGTTAGGATATTTTAAAAAGTCTCTTCATTCGTAAGAGTGATAATAACCTAATAGTGATAAGTGTTACTTCTCATTTCATTATCTAACTTTTAATTCTTTTTTACGTTTATTTTTATATGTTTTTTTATCTTTTTATTTGTGTCAGTTGTCCTTCTAAATTCATTAATTTTTAAAGTACATAACGAATGTATTATTTTTGTTCACATAAAATGTATTCAGAAAATAAATTAGACATGTACGAGAAAAAACGAATGAACAATAGTATCGTATGCAACAATTGGAGGAAAATAATAGCGTTGTCATTACAACGACGTAATCAATACAGCTTCCGTAAGTTGCAATTATTATCATTCATAAGAAATTATATTTCTCGGTTATATTTGGTTGGCTTTTTTTTTTATTTATTTATTTTTTTATGATATTTCCTTTATTTTGTTTTACAGTTTGAGATGTTATTAAAATAGTTTGAATAAGAAATATTTATCGAACAACACGTTTTCATCATCATCATCTATATTTAAGGGAATGTTTGTTTTTTGTATCGCATGCCAATATTTTTGTTTTTTTTGTTTTGTTTTTTTTGTACGTATTTTTTTCATTGATATTATTTCCGTAAATTAAAAAAAAAAATAGAATTTTTTTTCTTTTTTATTTTCTATTTTAACGTTTGAATTTTTTTTTTTAATATATATATATGCGCGTATGCATACGCGAATACATTTATTAATTTATTCAAATATCATTCACGATACATTTTTCTTAATTTGTTATCGAAGAAAGATTATACTTCTAAATCAATTGTAATTAAAAATGTATAATTAAAATGTTTATGAAGGTATTTTATTTTTATATTAGAAATAATTTATGTAATTTTTTTTTTAATTAAATGAAAATATAATTAAATAGAAAATTAAGTCTTGTTAAAATGATATAATAATAAGCAATTAAAAATCGAACCATATCATTAAAAAAACACGTTATCATATTCGAAATAAGAATAGACTTTTATTTATTATTAATAAAATTAATTCGTTCTATAATTGTTTAATAATTGTCATAAAATGTAAATAACATTCGTTCGTTAAATTCCGCAAATTTTTTGTTTGGTTTAAAAAGAACTAACGTTATTTAGAAAAATGTTTAATTAAATTGTTAAATTAAACAATAATAATCTTTTTATTGTAAATAATTTTGTCGTGTATGGTATATCGATAAAATCATGATAAATCGATTATCAAAGGTTAATTTTTTTTTGTTTACCCTGACTTTCCTCTAAAAAAAAAAAATTTCACACAAGATGAGTAATGAATCGTATTTATCATGGTGATGTAAAACTTCAAACATTGCAACTATCGGGGAACTTTTTTAGTTTTTTTTTCCTTTACTTTCAGTATGAATTTGTAATAAGTGTCGTGACTTTGCAAAGAATGTAGAACAAAAATAAAAAATATAATATTTACGTAAGAACTGATATTGATCAATCATTTCGATTAAAAAACATTATTAAATAGTTATCTTATTTTATTTGTAATTGATTTTGATCTTTTTTTCTTTTTGTCTTTTTTTCAGTGATCGTGCTTATGGGATTATTGGAATTTGGCAATATTCCACGCAATAAAATAGGTTTTTTCTGCAATGATCCAAAACTTTCCTTCAAATTTACCGGAGATACCGTTTCCGTAGCAGTTTTATTAACAGTAACCGCTGTTATGCCAGGTCTCGTGGTAAGTTATTGGAATTTTTATAATTTGTTATCGGAGATATATGTATATTTTTGAAAAACATTTTCCTTTTCTCATATTTTTATATTTTTATATTAATTTTAACACCAGATATACCACCATTTTCAGTATACCTATTTCTACAGCACTAGTCAAAATGACTGGTGTATAGAAAAAAAAATGCTCTTTGATGCTTCCAGTCTTTATTTACTCTTAAAAAATAACAAAAAATCTTTAACAATAATAATTTTAATAGATAAATGGATTTATAGACATTTTTAAATAACAAAACACTTAATTATTTACAGAACTCAAATGTTACGCGAAGTAGAAATTTTGAATTTAAATGGCCTGACCAGTCAAAATGACTGATCTGGTATATCTAGTGTTAAAGTAATTGTCTCCTTATCGAATTTATCTTTTTGTTTTATTGATTATGTAATAAATATTTGTCTTTTTTTTTAGATGTGGGTCATTGAATGCGCCAGTCACACAACTAATAGTTACGATACAGAAACAAATAGTAATAACTCAAGATTAAAACAAGTGTGGTTTTGGTATAGCCATTACACGATAGGAATTATCACTTTGGCTGTTGGATGTAACGTTATGAAAATAGTTATTGGTGAACCGAGGCCACATTTTTTTCATACGTGCCAACCTCTCGAAGCTCGAAATTGTACGAACGAGTACGTATATATATATCCAATTATATTATCAAAGTTATGTAGAAACTTATTAATCTTCAATAATCTCAAATTGAATTCAATTTCATTTAAAAATGTTCATTATTCTTAATTTTATTTGCTTTATATTTCTGAAATTAATATGATAGAATAAAAATTAGAAAATATACAATTTTTAACACATTTTAGTTAAACTTAACAGATTTTAGTTTAACTTAATTCACATTTAACATATTTTTCATACGAATTTTAATAAAATAATTAAATTATATTAAAAAATGTAATTATGGTCGATAATGTAGGAACCGATTGTCAAAGTGTGTTAACTTTTCGTCTGATTCGAATAAATTAGTAACTTTAAATGTTGTAATACATTTTAATTATCATTCTTAAATTTAATAAATTAATATATTAAATGTTATGTAATTATAATTATCGACAGCACGAAATGAAATAGATTTTTATCCTCGTATCGACCGTAGGTTTATTTTATTGATCGATTTTGATTTATTTTCATTGCAAAAAAAAACTAAAATATTAATAAAATATTGTTCTTAATTATAAATTAAATTTTCAGATACATCGAGACATACACTTGTACAAATATGGAAGATTCCAATTGGTTCATAGCAGATTCGAGTAAATCATTTCCATCGTCTCACTCGTCCCTTTCCGTGTACACTTCCATTTTTATCGTAGTAAGTGAATTATCAATAATTATAAATAAATTTACAAATATTTATATATTAAAAATAAACAATTAATAATATTTTTTCAGTGTTATTTGCAACAACGTATGACGGATAAAACGTTGTTGATGAAACCATGGTTGCAGTTTTTGGTATCAATGTGGACAGTGCTATGTTCATTGAGTAGAATTGCAGACAACAGGCACCACTGGTGGGACGTATTGGCTGGTTTGGTTATTGGATCGATCATGTCAATCCTAATCGTCATATTCCCATGTCGCGTATTTCGTTTGGAAAGAAAAAACTTATCAGCCAAACAAGTTAAAAGTGATTTTAGTGGCAATGATCAAGTCATATGTTTCGATGATAAAAATTATCAAAGTAAGAAAAAATTAGTGAACAGTACCAACAAAATCGACATTCCTGAGGGACGCGAGTTGTGTGACATTACGGTATCTTGGAAAGAATGATTACCGGAAGAAGAAGAAGAAGACAAATATCTGTACAATTATATTCGGTAGATGAACACGTAACATAATATCTATTTTTTTTTTTTTCCAAAATCTGGATAGAAATGTTTTAATGTTTCAGTACTGAGTACATCGTTGATTATTATCCAATAGAGAAAGATTTGATAATGTTCTAAACAACCCTACCAGATTTTATCATCAATGCATTATGTATGTGGGTGGGATGAATAGCTTTGAGTCTGATAATAGAAACAATTTTATATTTTTCGGTCATACTTAATTTTTATTTTTCAAAATAATCTAAAAACTTTTCAATCTCTACCCTCGTACATCTTTATTAATTATAGAATATATAATTTAGTGTTAGAATTCCAAATGAAATCTTCAATTGTACTACGAAAGTACCTTGGAAAATTATAGTATATGTAATTTAATATTAGAATCTTCTAAATGAAATCTTTAATTTCACAAAAGTACCTACGCAAATTATAGGATATAATATAATTTGAATTTTAGGAATAGTGTTGAAAATTTTCAAATATATTTTGTAATCCTACGAAAGTACCTTTTGCAAATAATAGGACACAAATAATTTTAGAATTCCAAATTAATTACAATCATAAATTTTACAATTAGATAGTACAAGGATACATCGTACTGTGATGGACACATTTTTTTTTTGCGTGTAAATGGAAACGTTAAAATGATATTCACGAGAGAGATGTATGCATGTTACGTACGTGTGCGAATGAGAATGTATGCGTGTGTTTTTTTTGGTCCCTTTAGAAATAACTAATCTCTCGTGTGCCATTCTACGTGTAAAGATGATAAATTTTTGCGTTTTATAGTTCGATGGTAGATGTATAATAGAAAGTACATTTAAAAAAACGTTCGTGCCTCGTCATATGTAATATATCACTTTTAATATATATATAGATACAAATATATCTACATATTGGTACAGAAAAGAGCTTTTCAAAGTGAAAGTTCGCGACCCCGTGTAGGGTTGTCGGATAACTAAATGTGGAGGTTGCTGATATTGTAGCAAAAGTGAAAAACTCTTGAACGATTAACGATCAGAAATTAATTCAAAAATAGTCAGCGTATCTGTGAGTTTATAATAGTTTAAGAAAAGATAATAATAAAGTCTATAACAGAAGATTTGCGAAAATATTTACTCGAATAAAAGATGGCCACCGAGTGAAAAAGTTTGAGAAGCTCTGATATAGAAAGTATTTTCTGAATGTAGATTTTTCAAAGGAATATTTTTGTCGTTAATGGTAAACCGCGAATGAGTTTAATTATTTTATTTTTGTATGTTAAAATATTTCATTATCTTATATATACATTTTTTTTATTTTCTTTTTGAAATGATGAGATTCAACGTCGAGAAAAGACAACAACAAAAAAGACAGAAATGTATGCATAAAGTGCGTTATTAAAATATTATTAATAGATATAAATTATTATTATTAAGAAAATGTACTCGTTGTGAAAAATCGAAGTACAATGTAAAATATTTGAGGATATTTTTTGTTCGTTTGATTGAATTAGAGTTGCTTTTTGGGGTTGCGTTCCTTTAAATATTAACGAACATTTATTAGAATGTAAATGATACCTTCTCGTTTAAGGTATATATTTACTCTTTAATTTAATTTAATTTAATTTAATTTAATTTAATTTAATGACAGAGAGAAAGAGAAAACGCAAGTAAAATGCAATTAGATTGAAATTGTTTTGTTATAAAAAAGAAAAGACATTTAAATTAACATTCCAATTATGTAAAATCATTTACATATATTTAACATTTGTGTAAAAAGATATAAATTTGTGTAATGTTGCAAAAAAAGTTTGCAATTGTGTTACAATTTTTAAGTATTATCTGTAAGAAGACCAATAAGAATATAGACAAAAATTGACAGTATTGAAAACGATGAAACGATGTAGTCATTAAAAAAAAAAATAAACGTAACAGGGCCGTCCTAATAATCGTAAATTAATTTTTGCTCGATTGGTGCTTCCATTATATTATAAAAACAAAAAGAGAACGCATAAATAATATAGTATTGCTAAAAAAAAATAATAATTAAAATAGAATAAAAATAAACTAAAATATATTGCAGAAAACTTTAGACTGAAATCGTAATAAATTAACTTTAGCGTAAAATAATAAAATGAAAAAGAAAACAAAGTTAATTTTTAAACATATAGATCATTGCCTTATTAAATCGTTAACATTACGACAATGTAACGCGTCTAATAGAAATGTCAATTATTCTGAAAAGAAAATAAACATCGGTACAAATAAAAAATACAAAAAAAAAACAATACATCCGTACAATTATAAGGGTTAAATAGTAACTTTTTAATCCAATCAATGTGAGCGAAAAAGAAAAAAAAACTGTAAATAATTTAGATAATAATAGAATATAGATAAATTAATCTAAACGCTATTTGTGTCACTAATTGTGTTACTCTATCGCATTTTTCTTGAGAACGAATAAAAAGAAATTTGAAAAAGTAACGCACATATTTGTTTCTCCACGAAAGTGCATTCATTCGTCATTATCAATGAAGATTAAATAACCGAAAAAAAGAGTGGCGGAATAAATCAGATCACGGGTCGTGTTGAAGAACGAATGAACGAACGAACGAACGAACGAACGAATGAGAAGAAGAAAAAAAAAGAACGAATAAAAGTAGATGAAGAGTGAGTGAGAGTGAGAGAGAGAGAGAGAGAGTGGGAAAATAAAAATGACGTTTTAAACGATCTCGCGGGCGGAAAAAGTAAAGTGGGTGGGTTGAAAAAGAATGAAAAAGGAAAGAAAAAAAAGGGGAACGTAGAGGGGTGGGGGGAAAAAAGAGAAGCGTAAAAAAGAGTAAAAGCAAACATATAAATAAAAACAAAAAAAAAGTAAAAAAATAACAAAAGCAAGAGAGAATAGTGGAATGCGAAAAAAAATACAAAGAAAAGAAACAAACAAAAACAAAAACAAAAAAATAAAAAAGAAGAAGTAGAAATAAAAAAGAAAGGGAGCGCGAGCGGAAGTGATTAATCCGGATCGATGCGATCAAGAATGTCATAAAGGTCGGGGTATGTGCATGCATGTAGGATGTTTTTTTTTTCGAGGTCAAGCGGATATCCAAAACGAGCGTCACGACGACGATTTAATTCGGTGGTCGCGCGTGGCGCGTAAAGAGAACCGACGACCAACGAACGTACGGATGGACGGATGGAATGGATGGATGGACGGATGGATGGACGGACGAACGCGCGTTACGTGGATGCTCTCCTCTCCTATTTCGAAGGTATTTTTTTTCTCTCTCTCTCTCTCTCTCTCTCTCTCCCTCTCTATCTCTGACTCCTCTCTGTGTGACTCTTCCTCTTTTTATTCTCCACCTCCACCTAGCAGAGTTATCCTCCCTTACCGTGCACCACCCTACCACCGACAAAACAATTGGTTAGGAGGATGGCTTGCTAAGGGGTGGAAGGGTAGTAGGACGGTTAGTCGCTTGCATGGGTGGAGGACGTGCAAGAGGATGGGGTGGAAGAAGAGGTAGAGGAGTTGGAGGATGAGGATGAGGATTGAGGATGAGGATGAGAAGGGAAGAAGGGAGATTGGGGAGCGGGGGGCAATACAACGCGCGGAGTCTGGATGAGAGAGATGAAGTGGCAGATTAACGTCAACCGACGTGGGCCATTCATAACGGGGCTCTTTCGCCGGTGTGCGCCCGCCGCGCACGTATGTACGAACTCTCCGCTACGACGATTTATAGAATTGGAAAAACGATATCGGAAAAATAGTAAACTTTATTGATGAATCCCTTCTACCGGAGGCTCTCTCTAAGCGATATCGCGTGGAACTGCTACTGCTACTGCTACTGCTACTTGCTACTGCTGCTTGCTACTGCTGCTGTTGCTGCTGCTGGTACTGGTACTGGTACTGGTACTGGTGGTGGTACTAGTTGGTGGTGCTGGTACCGTGGAGGTGGAGGTGGAGGTGGCGGCCCAGAGAGAGTCCGACCACATTCCCGCGGTGCTACAGGTGGCATGTAAGCCAATCGTCGATTCCGTATATACACCCACCCCCTGCCACCACCCCCTCCCTCTTCATCCCTTCCTCCTTCCCTCTTCTCGTCTCTTCTCTTCTCTTCTCTTCACTTCTCTTCTCTTCTCTTCTCACCCTTTGACTGACACTTGCCACTCTTCGTTAAACGTTTTCAAAGCGCGCACGACCCGATCTCGCGTGGTGCATGAAACAAACAAACAAACAAACGAAAAGAAAAAAGAGAAAAAAAGAACAACAACAACAACACGCTACGGCAAAAAGTATACAAAAAGCAGAGACAGAGAAGAAAAAAAGAGAACAAGAACTAACGCTTTAACCATAAATCTGCCCACGTGTGTTTGTCGTCACAAAAGTCGTTGTTGTTGTTCTCCTCGTCCTCGTCCTTGTCGTCTAAAGTTGAGTCCGGACGTTTTCCCTAGACGGGACTACCCATCTTTTTCTTTTTTTTTTCTTTCTTTACTTTTATATTCTTCTTCTTCTTTTTTTTCTAGTTCGTACGAATAAGACGGAGGTTCTTTTGTAAGAGTTGGACTTGGATGAAAGGAAAGCGTTAGAAAGGTAGACGGGCTTTCGAATCGTTTGATTTCGTTTTTGAATTTCGTTGTTTGGAACCGTTCCCATTGGAGTCGGTGAAAAGAGAGAGAGAGAGAAAGAGAGAAAGAGAGAGAGAGAGAGAGGGGGAGGAAAGGATCGATCGATTTCCAACTTTCTCCCTCTTTCTCTCTCTCTCTTTCTCCTTCTCTCTCTTTCTTTCTTTCTGTCTTATTCGAAAGAGAAAGAAAGGGATCATTTAAGAACGTCATCGAAAGTTTTCTAAAGGTGTCCGATTCGAACGGCCAAGAACGAAGTAAAGTTCTGGCTGATGGGGTCAGGCCGATGGTGATACTAGATGGACTTGTTTAAAGAAATAAAAAAGAAGAAGAAGGAGGAGGAGAAGGAGAATGAGAAAA